CCCTACTTTCCCTTTTCCTTTTTGGTTCCACTGTTATAAGAAGTTACCCCGAGAATAATGTACGCACAAACTTACCTCTTCATCAGTTGGGTGCGGATTTTTTGTAACCTCTATAGGTGAGCCGACCACCACATGCATAGGATGCCGATATGGTAAAGGAGATCTGGGAAAAGAAACAGAAACAGAATTCATTGAAGATTTTCTAGTGTAAAAGTAGACATCAAACAAACTAATGCATCAAGCCAACGAACTTAAGCAGACCAAGAGGCTTACCCAAAGACTCCCCAAAAGCAGATCGGGGTAAACTTGATCGCTCTTGAAAATTTAAGGTAGAGTTTCCCACTGGGCTTCCACCACTTGTAAACACGTGACTGCAGCAGCAACAAGACCCCAAAATATGAACAGAAGCAAAAGCATCTCTAAAGCATAGACTCGGGCAGGCAATCATGAAACAAAGAAAAGGGCTCACCACCAAACAAGTCTGGTAAATTCTATTCTCAAGTATAACTTTACGTAGTAGATCAAATGCAAATACAAAGACAATTGTAATAGTCCATAATGGTCAAGAAGGCTGAAAGGGCAACACTTTCCTACCTGGCCAAAACAGAAAACCGGAACCAGAGGTCGCCCCTGTTGGATGGCTATTCGGACAAACCCTCTTCTCGAGGAAAGAAAGACGGTCTGCAGAGACAGGAGCAGTGGCCCAGGAAGGGGGGGGGGGGATATACACAGGAGACATGATATCAGATGTCAAGTATTCCATTACGAATTTGAAGGAACTAACTTTCAAAAGATTGAATCCAAAGAATATGTTAGTTCCAACTTCCACCAAACCAAAAGTAGGGAGACAATGTGTTCCAGTCCGTTCTATTGATTCAAATGTAATACAGGTATTTATACACCGGTTATATTCTCTAGTATACCTCAACACCGTGTTGCATGTGAAAGGTCTCTTGGACTCCACCAGGCACAATGATGCAACTATAACCGGTTTCCAAGAGGGAAGAAAAGTTTCTCCTAGAAGCAGGAGCTAGACCCAACCATGTCCAGATGTGGCGCAAAAAGGGTGTGTAGAAAACCTAAAATCCATCGGAAAACAGGGTTGAGCTTGATAGAAGGTGAAGATGGAGATAAGCGGCAGGAGAGGCAGTTTACAGCGGTGCTTGCGAGAACTTTGATCTTGGGAAGGGGCATGAAGCCGGTGAGATCCGCAAGCGCAACAACCCCAACTGGGAGTACGGAATGGGGTTCGTAACCGAACACTGTATCCCATCAAGGTAGGTTAGGTTCCATGAATAGGTAAACTTCCTCTAAGAAGAAGGATGGAGAGAGAGACAGATATACCGTAGGATAGTTCATATACTCTCCGTAGTACAAAGTGTCGAGTGCGAACGTGGTATTCCACTCGAGCCAACCTCGCGGATGTACATGGTTACCGATATACGACAACATATACACCGTTCTTGAGTACAGTTTCCACGGTCGTCCTAGATACGTCTGTATACTTCCGTTCGTCGCTACCAGATCAGACGTAGACAGAACCCTGGATGCGTGTATCGATATTCCCGTGTTTTGGTTCGGATCCTTTCTGTTCTGCGCCGTGATCGTGTTTTTCTGGAGATCCATCGGTTTGCGAGCGTAGACAGGAATGCTTGCATATGTACCTGAAAAGATGGAGTGAGGGGAAGTTTCGGTGAATTGAATTACAGAGAGATAAGCAAGCACCTGGAGACCATGCGGCCGAATTTGCTACGCTCGTCGATGGGGATGAACATGAAAAGGAGGAGAAGCGCCAAAACCCTGGAAAAGAGGAAATCAATCTGGGACCCAGAAAGGAGAGAAAGGAGGAGGGGAGGCACAGAATGAGAGAGACATACAGAAGGAAGAGAGGAGGAGAAAGGAAGAAGATGGAGAAGAGAAGAAGAGCGACGTTGAAGTGAATGGCGCCGAGCCATATGCCGACGGCGACGAGGCTGTGAATTAGGTTGGAGGGGAACTCGTCCTCCCCACGGAACTCCCTCGGTGATCCTCCGCCCATTGTTCTCCCGATTCTTCGTCTCCTTGGAGAGAGAGAGCTCCGTCCGATTTGACTTCCCCACTTCTCAACTACTCGAACCAAAATCTTGGATCCAGAGGAGTAAATGGGCCTCCCCATCTCAGCCCATTATCAAATTACCAGTTATTGTATCATCTCTAACAAAAGAAAGGTTGAACCTTTGATTTGTTGGAACCGAACCGAACCTCACTCAATTGAAAGATATGGTAACATTTTTTAATCGAATGATTTAAAATTTTCGAATAATTTTTAAAAAAGAAATCGTTTTTTTTTATAATCGAATCGAATTTAAAAAAAACGAAGAATGAAAATTTCTTAAGAAAATCTAAATTTTTCTTAATATATAAAAAAACGCAATTAAAACCCAACGAAAATGATATAATAATTTTATAAAGCCGAAAGAATCGAATCGAATACGGAGATGTACACCCTGACTGTGATGACAATAACAAGCTCGGCCAAGGAATTCTTTCCCTCTGAAAATCTCCAAATAGCAGTCAAGAAATTCTCTAGGGACAATATGAACGGGAAAGATGGTTTCTTGGCTGCGCTTACAATCATTAACCGGCCTTTTTCCATGTCCGCCCGTGAATTTATCATCATCTGTCCGCCCGTCCAAAACCATAAGCCATAGTGCAGGTTGTGTCCGGTTCCACACACACTTCAAACCAGCATTTGAAGGAGAAAACGGAGACCGTGGCAGTGGTTCCCCTCATTTGGACGAGCCTTGACTCTCCGCATTCACCTATATCCAACTGTTGAGCCAAAATGCCTGACCGAACTGAACGAGTTCTCTTATGTTCAAAATGCTGTTTTCCCTTCGACCGGTACATCTCATTCTAGTTCTCGGCAGCCATAGATTTGGATTTGGTACCCGGTTTGATAGATATGGATAAGGGGACATAGAATACATATGGTGAGCTACAACAATGGTTAAAGAGCAGTTTCTCTAACGAGGAGACGAGTTTCTACTGAATTCAGCCGACCGGTTCGACGTACCATTTTGTTGCCTTGTCATCCAGCGGTTTTACGCGACGAGAAAGATGATGATCGAAACAGCGTGTTAGATGGAAATTGGGATTTATTGGTAGAAAGCTATCAAAGATTCCCGAGTAAAACGATATCCCGGTAATCAATCAAATGAAAATATTAAATTAATTGAAATTTCATTTATTGTAATGAAACAAAGTTAATTGAAGTATCATAAAACGTCTGTCTTATTTCGAATTCGAATCTCAAATTAGAGATAGGAGTATTCACATGGCTTCATCCCAACTGCGGAATTAGTGTGGTCTCGGTCTAAAATACTCGATAATCCAAAAAAAAAAAAGTTGTATATTTGTATACTTAGTCTGTGACCGTGTCGGTGGGGGTGGTGGCCCTTTGACAAAAGAGTTCCACCGACAGACCTTTCATAATGCAACACATTTATTTTTCGTTGAAGTCATTAAATATTTGAACCAATTAAGAAACTCCTCCTATCAATACAATATTAAAAAATATCTACCGCAACCGTGCTTTATGTAATTTCCAGTTCACAAAGTGTACAACATCATCGTTCAATCTACAAGTTCATCAAATACGTCTTTACAACAAACGTATTAGCCATCGAATTTAACCCTCTATTCTTTTTTTTTTTAAATTGTAAAATCGAAATCAAGATCCTTATTGAACACATCCCTCAAGATGAAATCAAACCCATGTAACCAAATATTTATGGTGTAAGAATGAACTAATTATCAATACAAACCCCATGATCACATGTTGAGTCCGGCCAAAAAGGACACTCCCGTCGACGGTAACCACGACGATCCATATATGAATTCAGCCACCGTAAACCTAGTCGCCTCCTCCGTCGAATTCATTACCCTATACCCCGGCCATTTCACCCGTTGCTCCAGCCCCGATCCCGGCCCATAGTTCATATACTCTCCGTAGTACAAAGTGTCGAGTGCGAACGTGGTATTCCACTCGAGCCAACCTCGCGGATGTACATGGTTACCGATATACGACAACATATACACCGTTCTTGAGTACAGTTTCCACGGTCGTCCTAGATACGTCTGTATACTTCCGTTCGTCGCTACCAGATCAGACGTAGACAGAACCCTGGATGCGTGTATCGATATTCCCGTGTTTTGGTTCGGATCCTTTCTGTTCTGCGCCGTGATCGTGTTTTTCTGGAGATCCATCGGTTTGCGAGCGTAGATACTACAGTTCTGCAATACTACCGCCGCGTTGCCGAAAATGAAATCGACCGTACCGTAGATGTCGCATTCGCGGTAGAACTGACGGTTAGAGTGGACGTAGAGAGTGTCTTGGTATCCGATGATATTGCATCGGAAAATGACTGCGTGGTCCGCCCCGACACGGAGAGCCACCGCCTGATGCTTGGCCGGTCCGGCCCAGTTCTCAAACGTTATGTCCCTTGCGATGAAACCGGCTCCCGTCGCGGCTACGGGTTACAAAGAAGACAAAATTCAGACAGTGAATTGGTTTCTTACACAGTTTGAAAAAGCTAAAATAATGATTTATTGTGACGTATACGATAACAGGCGATTGAAATATAAGTTCGAATCGGCCAATATATAAATATGCACAAATATACAAATACAAAATTTATAATAATAGTGAATCTAATGACAGAGAATTGTCTGGTTCTGCGTTGTTTCTTGTATTGGACTGTAGCTATTATTGTGGTCTCAAGAAACATCTCCATGTCATGATGATGCCACTCCCTATGACCCCACCTCCAACTACATGTATTGATTATAATGCTGATACATGCATGCATGCATGATGTTTCCAACCATATGATGCATTGCTCTCTCCAGAGATTGGAAAGGACTTTTATGCTTTTACGATGATGGCATAGCAAGGCATGTGATGTGAGAATCCCATTTTCTCTTCATTTTTTTTTATTTTTCCTGTTTTTTAAATGTTGATATTATTTTTCAGTTAAATTATTTTTATTTTAAGAACTAGTTTGTCTTGTTAAAGAAAAGAAAGAAAATAGAAAAATATAATAACCTCATGTGTTCTGCCAAACTGAGTAAAAATTAAAATCCAAAGAGAAAAAAAAAAAAGGTAAAACCAAGGGGCAAGGAGCACAAAAGTCAAGTTTACTACGTTCACGTGAGGAAAAGGGCTAAAGTTTAATCTATAATAATTAAAAAAAATATATATTCCCGAAAGTCAAAACTCAAAAGTACTGTAAACATTCAAACAAATTGAAAAGATTTTAAGTTAGATAATTACACAAATTCTTAAAATATACACCAATTCATAAAAATAAAATGAGATAATTAGGAGTAAAAAATTTATTATAAAAATATCGGAATATGATATCATTTCAAACCGCCAAAATATTTTTGGAATGCCATTCTAATTCATAAAATAAAACGAGATAATTATCAGTAAAAGATTTATTTCCGCAGAGAGAGAGAATCCATCAGTCCAGTTGCCAAACACCTTTCACTAAATCTTTTACGAATCTGATTCGAATACTTTATGTCGAATATAATTAATTAGTCCTTTTTTTCCTATCGATAGTTTATTTATGTCTATGCATGTGTATAATCACATATTATATGATATGTGTATTTTTTAAATGGTTCGTCAAAAGACCTTTTATCTGTATTTTTTAAAAAGTTTAGTTTCCTTCTCTAACTATTATTTTTTCGATAATCATTGTATTTATTGTATGTATTTTCTTAATCATGATTAGCGTAATTATTATTAGGGAAAG